GTATAATATTACAGGTTCTTGTACAGCTCATTGCGTTTCATCCAAGTCAAAAAAAATGAATTTTTAAGACACAAGCAGGGTTTTTGACGGATAAAGATATTAAATTAAAATAAAATACAATTTTTCGATGTTAACAATAAGATACCATTTGCAAAACATACAGCTTTACCATATTTACGAAATCCCTGTATAAGAGTTAAGCAGTGCAGTCCACTACACTAGACGTTGAACATGCGTGGGTATTTGGCGGGGACTACAGAACTGGCCCTGTTGTTGCTTACAGTGTGTACTACCGCATCGGAAACACGCACTGCCACTAGTTTGTTTTGTGAGAAAACTTTGAACATCTTGACTACAATCACTGGTTTACTGCCAAATACAACCATCGAAGTTAAGGTTGGAACCTACAAAAGGATCGAAGGTGAAGATGTGGTGGGTCCCCTTAAGTACAGTGACCACAAAAACTATTTATCTCGGTGAGGACAACCTTTCAGACTATAGTATTTTGTTTCAAGCCCTCGATAACGAATGTTGTAGTTATTGGTATCCGTCTGGTCGATTCTGTGATGTTTAAAAATATACAATAGGCGTACTTGTTTAAAGTTAAATCTGGAAAACGCCACAAAAATTGTTCAAAAATTATTGTTTGTTTTAGAATCAAATAACTTTATATCGTCTGCTAAGATCAAAATATATTGAAAGATTTACAGACCTTTCTCTACAATTTGAAGTTTATTTACTTGATCGAATATTATACAATCTTTCAACAAAAAGAAATAGATATGATGATGTGTGAAGGAATCTCACCTAGAAGTTAACTGATCTCGAACCTCTCAAATACGTTATATTCATGACAAATTTTCTCATAGGCCAATGTTTTTTGTTTTTTTTTATTTCTGTAGTCTACGAATCATTGATTTACAGAACCACTTGATCAACCAGAAATAAAAATGGTATCCGTGACAACAAAGAATTCAATCAGGTTAGAGTAGAAGGTACTAAGCCTATTTTCTTTTTATTTCATATTATAATAACCGAACTATTGGTTGTATGGGTGGGGGAGGGGGTGGAGGAATAACAATGTAGAATAAGATGGAATTCTAATAGATGTCTGTGTCAAACCGGAGGGCGAAAAGCTATTTCTGATAGGGATAAGTAGCCAGTCTTGTTAAAAACTGCTGCTGGATGACTTGACAATTTCTTAAAAATGTTAATATATTAAATATATAAAATATAAATAATTAGCAAACTCAGTAGGCAAATGATAACAATCATTACATTTGCCTAGTTAACAGCTTAAACACAAATCTGCAACTCTCAGCACCTGTTTTTTCCCAAGGGGGTAGACGACAATCCTATACGCTTACAGTGTGACGGGTTAATGCATTATGGTGTCGGTTACTTACAAGGCAGCTCTTGCCGATGTCTGGGAAATAGTTAAAATTCAGCCTTCTACAATTACTGAGTCATGATACAGCGCATTTCTCCAAAGTTAGAACAATGAATACAGCAGGCATCGAGGGACCGTGGAGCGAAGCAGGAGTGGAAAAAACCCTGGAAATGGTACGGTTGTAACTTTAAGGAGCATAATTGAGTTAGATGTAAAATGACAAGCTATTTCTTGAATTAGAATTGATTGTTGTATTCCATGCTGGTACGTATCGGAAATTATTTTTTTCATTTTTTTTATTTCAACCACTTTATTAAAAAGGATAAAACATTCAGACAAAACCTAGGTCACAAAGCAGGAGGCAAGGCAAGGTAACGAAAAGCATTATAAAATCAGCAACGGTTTAAAATAAAATTGTCAAGTTACATCGTTACGAGGATACATCATACAGGATCTTCAGGTGTCATATATCGAGTTTTGTTTTTTCAAAATAATAATATAGAGGTGATGGGGACCAATTTGTAAATTTCCTTGCATCAAAAATGTATTTTGAACAGCTAATTGCTGTTCTACAAAGGTCCTCCATCGCTCTCTTTGAAATGTTTTTTCCACATAGTATGTCTAGACCCTTAATATCGCTTTCTACGGAGTGGCCAATGGAGCCAACCTCAATGGTAACATATTTTACATCTATAGATTCACTTAATTCTTGAATTAATAGTTTATAATTCTCTTTATTTGTCTTCCTGAACTTGGCATTACCAAGGCTTTGTTTAGAATTGTGTGGGACAGTTAATTCCCCTATAACCATTACGGGTTTTGCTCTATCGACAACAATAATATCAGGTCGAGCTGAATTTAAAGATAATTCCAAAGCGTACTGTGGCAGGAGGATTACAAGAGGCACGTTTACCTGGAAGGTCAGCAAAAATGTCATAGCTTTCTCGGCAAATTTGCTGAATATGCGATACAATAATTGACAGTACACTATCGTGTCTTCATGTATATCTCCCTTGATTAAGAGATTCTATACACCCGTTCAGCACATGGAAAATAGTTAGATTATCCGGAGAACACAATTTGCATAAAGCAGACGTCTGAATTTTCCATCTCCGCAAGTTAATTTCAGTTGGGAGTGTATCAGACGCCGCCCTTAAAACAAAAGAAAGCTGGCCAGGTGGAAGAACCGTTAACATTTTATTCCAGAGATTCTTGTCACTTTCTAACTCGATAGCTTCAGTACTTTTACATTGTACTAATAATTAATTAAGTTTCTCGTTCCATCTGGCTTCAACTTTATCGTTAGCTACCTTGCTTAGGTTTTCCTTACACTTTTTATATGTGCAATTTTTGGAAATTAGCTTCCCCCTGGGTCCAAGTTGGGGAGCATTTCTTTGATTGAGGAGCCGATCTTTAGTATATACAGTTGAGCAAGGGCCGTGGCTTTAGTATGTTTGTAAAAGTCAGGCATATAAGGCAAGCCTAGCAATTTTGGATGGTGCAAAATTGCAATGGTTGTTCAAAAGTACACGTATGTTAGTACTGTACACTTTGTACTATTCTTTGAGAGCCTGTTTAACATTGTGTTAGTTTAGACATCAGTGCGTGCTACTGTGGGTGTTTAAAATGTTTTAAAGGAAAAGAAAAAGTAGTCAAGCCAGTAGCACAACTCATCCTCTATCGGCGAGTGTAACTTTATCGCTCTCTTCCATTTTGTTGTTCGTTGCTGTTGGTTACCTTGTTGGTATCAGTTAATAAACACGTTTGTTTTGCCATATTACTCTAGCAGTAGTGTCCGTCTGTGATCTGACTCGTTCTACCCTTCTCAAACCCTTGGCGTTGGGTAAAAACGTTGAAGCACTGTGTTGATAGCCTAGCTTTAAGAATCCACAAAAAACACCACAATTATAACTTAACACCAAAATTATAACTTAATTTTTTTAGGTACAATGATAATTGTGGTAACATTTCTCAGCATATTGCTATGTCGAGTGTTCCTTGTGTTATACAGGTACGTGTACTATTGTATATTGGAATTAGGCTGCAGTGGGGGTTTACTATAAATCATGTACTACATTTTAAAATTTGGATGGCATAAATTTTATTCGCTGTGAGTGGGTCTTGAAAATATATATTGCCAACTGAATTGGTATGTAAATAAAGTTTTATAGCTTCTTTATTGCCATGTTAATCGGTGTATGCGTGTGTATTAAATTCTTGTTTGTTTCTCTCAATCGAACATAAAACGTATTTACAATTAAAATGTTTTTCTACCGCAAAATAAATGCTGTTGTGGACTAATAAGTTTTATCTTGTCACTACACACTACACGTTGAGAAACGTCGCTGGATGGACAGAAATATTTGTGAGGAATAAAGTCGTCGGATCCGTCTGCAAAAATTTTTTATCAAGTGAATGTTTAGTTTAATCTATCATTTTGGTCTGATTTTCTCTACTTTTATATTTTAAAATATTTATAATTATTTGCTTCTTATGGCCGCTTGTGTTTTTTGTATACCCCATTTGCCTATCAATTTTATATATGTAATAAAGTGATTTAACAATAATAATAATGTACTAGGATAATGTTGACTTTTGAAACACTGAAATTTCAGTGTTTCCAAAGTCAACATTATTACTTTATTATATATATATATATATATATATATTTATATATATATATATATATATATAAAAACATATATTGCCTTGGTTTGGCTCTGTAATCATTAGTGGTAGTGGGACTGGTTTGGGCCCTTCCTAAGCTGGTCAAACGTTTCTTTTGGGTCTATACCCCAGCTGCACTGATGAGTCCTGGAAGGCCGAATCGGATCCGTCTGCAGATATTGGGATTCCTTCCAGTGGATACTTAGTTGTTTATTTTGTCATTCTGATCGGATTTTCTCTACTGTTCCGTTTTAATTATATATATATATATATATATATATATATATATATATATATATA